ATTTAACAAACCACATAACAATTAATATAAAAATAATAATTATTGTGTTAGTAACGTTATGGAATAGTAGCAATCTAGTTGTAGTCAAATTCAGTCTCTTAACATGCTAATAGTTATATTCCAGTAAAAAAAAAAACAACCTAAAATTATATTTTAAAAGTTTAAATAATTTTTAAAATAAAAATGCACTATTTTGGAGTAAAAAATGTAATTCAGGTGTAAAATAATATGGAAAAACATAATGTAGAATTTTCTATAATATTATTAGCCGTACAATGTTTATCATGTTAATAATATTAGGTAACATGGCTTGTGCATGGTTCAACACATTCCACTGCACCTCATCTGCATATGTTGATGTGATGCGGCAGAGTTTTAATGGCTCTATCATAACCTACAGCGGAGAAACTATATAATTTAATTACGTCATATAGTACGCCTACATACGACCACGATTGAATACTGTACTTTGAGTTAACAAAGTGCAGTTTTTCGTGTGCTTTTCATTCGTATTTATAAAAAAATAGTACTTAAACATGGTAAAAACCTTATACATACAGGGTGTTTTAAAATTCGTTTCGGATATTTTAGGGTATTATTCCTGGGTAAGAAACATATTTAAATGTCAGATTTAAATCGTCAGGAAGTCCTTAGTTACTCACACAGCCGCCATTTTGTTTATTTTACTTATTAATTGTTTTCTAAAAAGCAATTGTTAATAGTTTTCTTACCCAGAAATAATACCCTAAAATATCCGACACGAATTCTGAAACACCCTATATGTATTATTACAAATTGGATTTTGTTATAAAGAGGGGGATATTAGTCTTTAGAGAATATTTCTAGAGATTCTTGATTAATTTATTTTTACATAACAAATCATTAAAACATACTTGGAAAAGGTTCATTTCCTTTAAGAAAATAATAATTTCCATTCAAGCAACATAATCATAAGTAATCAAAAATCATAAATTAAGTAGAGATTTTTTTCTATTTTTAAAGTGAACCACAAAATAGTTCTAAATAAAAACCCCTAATAACTATTTTAGACGGGTTGTTCCATACTTTAAAATCACTCAGGAATAATTAGCGAAGAAATAAAAGATATTCACTATTCCCTAAAAGAAACAATAACTCAACAACAATATTTTATAAAAATGGGGTGTGCACAGCCAAAACTATTGATTGATAAACATGTTATTTTGAATGGATCATTACATATCTTAGGAATATGTTTAGGATAATGGATGTGTATAAATGTAACGGTTATTCGCCGTGTTCATGGCCAGTTATACTAATATTATCAGTAGCCTTTAGCACATGGTATGTTTACATTCAGATGTAAAGCAGAAATCAATGTAAGGAATACAACGTTTCATAATAAACCTTAACGAAAAAAACTCAAAACTGTTTCTTGGATCAACCAAAAAAAATTATAGCAATGGGTTTCTAAACTAATTTTTTGAGCAAATTATAAATACATCCACGTTAAAGGTAATTTGTTGCTACACTAGTATAAAATGGTCTTTTTTCATTATATGGTCATCACCTGCAAAAATTCTTCATTACATTGTTTACTACAGAAAAAGATTGTATACTATGGAAACATTATGTTTAATATCTGTTTTTGAATTTTTTTAAAGTAAACGTAGAAAGATTTGTTATTGTTTTGTCAAATGTTTCAATTTTCAACTACCAAAATTGTACACTAAATGTAAATATTAGCTTTAAATGAAAGACTAACAGTAATAAGGAAATATCCGAAGTAAGTTTTTTTTAAGAAACTAATTAGTCTTTATAGTATAGAGTATGGAAAAGTAACGTTCAAAACATTTATTTATATCAAAACACGAACGTTGGGACTCCCTACATATTCTTAACCATATTTAAAGTGCTCGATAAATCTCACACTTCAAACATAATATGGTGTCAAATATCTAATGACTCAGGTACTACTCTTGATATGAAACATACTATTTCCATGCATATTTTATTTAAACTTTTAGTTGTGCAGTATTTTTTTTCCTATTTACATTTTTATATATTTAAAAAAAACATATCAAACAAAACCAGTATTGTTTAGGTTATTTGTTTACTATGATAACATAATGGTAATTTTTATTGGGCAGGAATCAGTTATATCTACCCCCTGAATAGCATCGTTCCAATAACCTGGAACAGGTGACAAGGCAAGTAGCCTAGGCCACTAAATGATGGTTCACAAAAACACATCTAAGGAATAACAATCTTAATTTGATACTATATGTTTAGACTGTTTCAGTTAAAAGAGTTTTAACTATATTCAAGACATACCATTTAAACCATTTCAATTAAATAAAATATACCCTTAAGACTTTTTCCCCATTATTTCATTAGGTGCACATTTTTTCGTGACCGAGTAAAATCAATATTGCGTTTAAGATAAACATTCTAGGTCAAAGGGTTCCTTAAAATTGAAATTCCTGGACCTAAGTGAACCGCGTGATATTGCTTCTCGTAAATTAAACATCTTTTGTCTTCCCAAATTAAAACTACCCATGCAAATTTACTTCATCTGGCCTCGATTTTTGTGGTTAGGTCATCCTCAAAAACTAAATTATAAGCTTACAAAATAACTATGTTGCTTGAGTGCTTGAACACTTTATTAATAATCATCAGTATTGCTCCAGGACAAGTGTTTTGTTCATTGTTTTTTTTTTTATTCCACAAGCTGGTCTACACAAAATAACCCATTCAGCACTTAAACTCAAATATTAGCTAGACTTTGAAAGAAGTAATATGCGCATTGATATTAAAACTATGAAAATACTATGTGAAAAAGGCTAAATGTGAGGTTACCTTACCATCAATGCTCAATAAATATTGTTCCGAATTTCTAAATATTTTTTGTCCTAGGACCCTAAGTTAGTCACCCGAAATAGTTTTTTTTCTTCATTTTATTTCAGACTATGGGTTGCCACAGTATCACTAAGCTCCATTGATTATTTGGTGGGATTTGAACCCGGGATCTCAAGTACCGAAGGCTCACACTCTACCACTAGATCAACTCGGTCAGATTTTTAACCGTCCTTTTGTGAAAGATAAAGTTTTTATAGTGTAACTGTTCAATGAATGTTGAGTAACTTTGTATAGTATGAATTTTATCAAGAACTCTGTCAAAAAACCTATAAAATCACTTATCTATAAAAAGAAAAAAATTACACAGGTTTCGATTTCAAAAATACTGTTATTTAATAGCTATGAATATTACCACTGCATTATTATTAATGCTCTTTTGTTATAAATTACAACAAATTTACATTATCTTGCATTGGATACCCATAGCTTGTTAGGGAGATCATCCACATATTTTTCTCAGTTCCTAAAAATAACGTTGCTGTGATATTAGTTTGAAATATCATAAGTTTCTATTCATTAAATTTAAACCGTTACTTTAACAAACGAAATAACAAGGACAGACTGTAATGTTATTTTTGATTGATTTACCACGTTGTTCCGTACAATGCATTAATTACTCATTATTTTTTCTTCACATAAATGTTCCATGATGAGACCTCTACTCTGGCGGCTTCGTTGTTTTACAAGGAATTTTCAATCTGATACAACCACTTTGACACAGGCTCCTCTTATCGATTCCTCTTTTATTTGAATCTCGCTAAACCTCTTGACTTTTACCAGTCTTGGACCTTTCTTGTTAGGAATGTAATATTTGTGTGAAAACTACCGGGTGTTTCAAAATGAATGACCCGGTTTTAACGCTTTATAACTTTTATAATATTAAAGTTACCGCTATAAAATACACATCAAACGAAAAAGCAACTCCAAGAGTTTATGCCCTCCGAAGACACATTATTTAACAAAATCGATCCAGCAGAACTGTAGATTTAATTGTACAAATTTGAAAAATAATCTCCAACTTTTTTTACCACTAGAAATTTGGAGATTGCTTGACGTTTTTGCAAATAACTTTTAAATGGTGAGTAAATTGACCAAAGTGGAAGGTGATATTCCGAAAGAGAATAAAATTAATTTTCTACAATCTACTATTATGCATTTCTTGAAAATACTCCAGAAAGGTACCAAAATTGCCTCAAAATGAAAAAAAATTGAAAATACCTGTCTTCAATGTAGACAATAGACATAGCAAACATTAAATTTCACACTTTTTTATTTTTAGGCGAATTTAGGCTACATTTATTGAGTATGAAATGCATAAAAGTAGATTGTAGGAAATTTTATTCTCTTTCGAAATATTACCTTGCACTTTGGTCGATTTTCTCACCATTTTAAAGTTATTTGCAAAAACGTCAAGCAACCTCCAAATTTCTAGTGGTAAAAAAAGTTGGAGATTACTTTTTAACTTTGTACAATAAAATCTACAGTTCTGCTGGATCAATTTTATTAAATAATGTGTCTTTGGAAGACATAAACTCTTTGAGTTGCTTTTTCGTTTGATGTGTATTTTATAGCGGTAAGTTTAATAGTACAAAAAGTTATAAAGCGTTAAAACCGGGTCATTCATTTTGAAACACCCGGTATAAGCCCATAACTATAAGTAGGGTGATAATTTCAAATTGTTAAGTGAAAAATTGCATATCCAATAATATAATTCCTATAAAATTACGTTTTAAGATTTTCTATAATGTCATAAAAAAAAGAAAAAACTTAGAGCACTATTCTATGTATTAGAGGTTCAACTTTCAAGTGTATGTATATATTATAAAAAGGTACATTTGATGAACCGTTTTCATTAATTTGAGCAGAAACGTACTACTAAAATTATAGTAAGGTAAGTTATTCAACTGAACCATAAAATCTTTTTAAGTAGCCTATATACAATATTTTTCGAATTTCTAATGAATATGTTACTAGCTTTAAATAGTTTATACAGTTTCTATATTTTCATTTTTTTTGTGCAGATTTGGCTGCTTTTTACAGATACTTCTATTATAAACGCTTTACAAATAATTTACAACTAAGCAGTTTGTTGCCTACAGTACCTTGGCTGGCCTGATGGCCGCTGTCCTAGGGTTAAGGTTTTTCCTCAGGGCTGTCCCCGGTTTGTGGAGAGTTCTTCTGAAGCAAGAACCGTCCGGTAGATCATAAGTGTCATCTGAAACATAAGAAGGTAATAATAATGGAAACTATTCTATGAATGTCAAGTAACACGCAATGTTGAGTTGTTTGAAATAAATAAAACTTCAGACCATTAAACTCGAGTTTAGTTTAACTGCTTACTAACAAATTCATCGTAGACTTTTGTACTACATAGCCTTTGTACAAAATAACTTTTTAAATACGATTCTTAAAACCACTTATCAGAATTTATGACATTTTGTAAGAGGGTACATTTTTTTAATGACGGAATTTCCTATAACCATCGAAAGGGTATTGTGCTAGGAGTATGTATACAATTAATGACAGATAGCTGTACAGCTTGGAAACATAAATTAATTTTGTAGATATGATGTGGTGTACAGCAAAATATAAGCTTCGTGTTTTGGTATTACCACAAAAATAAAGGCTCACACCCCCTAAAGTACTACTTTCTTTGGTGAGTCGGTAACTCAGTCGGGCCCAAGGCAGCGATGTCGTGGGTTCGGATCCTAATCATTGCCACAAATATTTTATTAGTACAGTTAACCTTTGTTCCGGCTCACCCCTTGCTTCGCTGGATACGTTTCACGCACGGGTAGTTAGTCTATGTGGACAAGCAATTGCAAAGTTAAAAGAAGCCGCCAACCTAAAAAAAATTAATTAAAAAGATTGAAAAAACTTAGCAAAAGAAACACTGAAACCAATGTTCGCATTTACATTTTCAACAAAAGTATTTTAAACTAACAGCTGTTGTATATGCTATACGCAAACGTATTACATTTTTAATTCAATTTCAAGTATACGAAACACTTACATTATTTTGTAATTTCTCGGCAAGCACTCTACGCTAACAATGAAATTCCAGACATAAAAGATGATAGCTACGTGATTTCTGCAAACATGGCTAATCAATAGGATGCTTGTTCTGAAGATGTCAAAGAACTTGAATATAGTGCACTCCACCGAGGCATTTTTCATCTTGACATCCAATATTGCTCTTACCAATCAACAATCGTGGCAATCACCGATCGTACCGATCGTACCGATCGTACCGATCGTGGCAATCGTACTTTATCTTCCTCCCTTTTTGTGTAAAATATGCTGTTGTAAAAAATATCACCGTGTAAAATCTACAGTGGTAAGTACATACCATATATAAGTAAATACCATATAAAAGTCATACATATAGGCCTACAAGTAATCACACACAAAACAGTAAAATAGTAAAAACCTATTAAAATTGTATCGTGAAAGAAGACTTCCACTACAGAAACAGATATTCTTACCTAAAATACCTATAGTTTTTCATAAGTGTATAGACCTACCACTTATACTACTATCAAAACTACTATCACAGACTAAGCTATAATGGTTTTTAAAATATAACTAGTATTGCTAGTAGTTAAGAAGCCATTTGTGGTGGTGGTATTCAAGACTGGGATTCCTTAATACACGTTTCTACACTTTAACCAGTGAAACATAAAAAAATTTGTTTTTGTAAATTTTCTATCCAATTATAACGTTGGATAAGAAACTACATGTCACTTCTCAAACAAAGTTTTTTTCGCTACCAAGCTGTTTGGATGTATTAAGGTTAATGTTATGTAGCCTTTGGCAGCCTAAAAGGTCACAAAAATACTGTGCGTGTAATACAAAGATAATTTTTGTAAAATCAGTAAGAATACTTGTTTCATATAAAAAGGGAGTTTTGCTATTTTTTTATGATAACATTTTAAGCAGTACCTTTTGAGTACACGCATGATATTGTTTATCTTGCTAGAAAAATTAATAAAAATACCCATTTAAAAAAGCCTATTTTACTATTAAAGGATTTTATTTGTTAAAGCAGTTATTAATTAAAATGGCAAACATAAGAAAGCTATGAAATTATGAATATTTTCCATATGGTACGTCCCTGTAAGATTTTTTCAAACAACAGTAGCAAATATGAAAATCTATCAATCCTTACTTCAAACAACTTTTCTGCTTTCTAATTAAAAAATATTTAACGAAAAAAATTGTTCACGCAAAGAAATATTAAAATTTGTATAGAAATGGCATTATTTATCTTAATAAATCATTTACTTAAATGTTTGGATTTTGTTAAACTTGTCCCTAGTAATTACATCTGTAATGGAACCCATCTGGTGTCCTGGGTTTGCTGGCCAATCACATCCTTAATTAACATTACCAGACTATTTCAATTCAGTGGGAATCCTTCCAATTTGTACTAAAAATATAGTCAGGTGATCTCCTAGTACTTTTAAGGATTATTTTTTATTTAGCAATCGCTTTTATCTTTTTCTCTATAAAACAATCAAAGTTGTTTTAAGAAAAGTGGATTCACCCAGAAACAAGAAGAAAATGCAGAAGATGCAGATGTGTATAAATAAATATCATTATACTAGCAGTTACCCGGCGCGCGTTGCTGCGCTTAACAACTATTATTTAGTTTTATGTTTATTTTACTTAATTGTCAGTGGATAAACATTTTTTTTTGTTTTTTTTTCATTAGGTGTATAAATATATAGCTTTTTAGGCGTAAGTTACCCTTTTATGTTTAAATATTTAATAGTGGAGAATTTAAACGTTGTTGCACAGGTGTGCTGAGATTGGGGCTTATTGTATTGTTTTCTGTGCTGCATTCTGTGGAAACAGTGTGGCACTATTTAAAATTATGACTAATACAGAATGTTGTGATTATTCAAACCTACAAAACAGTAGGCGGAAGTAGACATCTGCTTTTGAATTTGTAAACATACAATGGACATTGTATGTTACATCTGACATTGGACCCCTTAAAACCCTCTGGGACGGAGCCCTTTTGACGGATCTGCATTAAACTTGACACAAACCATTCTTAAATAATGCCTAATAATGCCTGAAAGTTTCATTACAATCTGTCGATACATATATACATAGTTCCTCTTTTATAGATATATAACAATACAGAAAGGTTAGTCTGACAGTAAAATTTCTGTTAGTGAACACGGTACCATAATTAATTATGCTGTTTTATGTGAAAACATTAGTTACTTTGTAACATAAACAATGTATACATCATTGTATATATTTTATGATAGATTTTAACAGATTTTTTATGTGAAGAAAACATAAAGTTGTAAACCATTTTTGTGCATAATATGTTTAAACGAATGACAATTCTTTAACGTAATTCATTTTTAAAAATATGAGTTTAATTTTAGCGTGGGGTGTGCGCAATAACAATCTACAGAAAATTTTTCTTTTCAAAGGAAGATAGTATAGTTTTACTTTTTCATTGAGATAATCCACGGTAACTGCGGGTGTTTTTCCTGGTTTTTGCATTTCAAAGTTTGAAGCCAGCAACTTTTCTTATTAGCATATTTGAATCTCTTCTTCCCCTACTACATACGCATGTCATGCCATGCATTGAGCTGTTAGACTTGAACTAACCTACTATAAAATAACAGCATGTAGATTTGATATATTAACACGATGTTTACGGGGTAAAAATGGGGTTTTCCAAACAAAAAATTATATAAAAAAAAGAATAATTTAGTATTTTGAAGCGCTGTTGTATGCCTAACGGTCACGGAGGAATAAAAAAAAGTGTAATTTAAAATTCCCATGTTATTCTTATGGAGAAAAAGAAAACTGTTGTATTTTACTTGTTTATGGATATATGTTGATAAAAATTGTCAAATTTATTTATTTCGTTTTATACCATTGCAGTATGGTCAAAAAACACGTTTTACCTTCCCCGTAGCAGCACATCTAAGCACTCGTTAAATCAAACGTTATTGGAAATAAATCCGTCATATTTATGGAAATATTTGAGTAAAAATGTAATCAGACAATTTTAAATTCGCTTAGTCTGCAGGTTTGCTGCGGCCCGGGTATTTAGTTCACTTGTAAGCATTAAGCAAATCTCTACAATTCAAGTAGGTAATAATTAATTAGGCATAGATTATACTTTTGTTATAACTCGTTGTAACAAGTGCATAGAGCATTTATCATCACAGTGAGAACAAAATTTATCACGTTAGCTTTACCAGCAACTTCCAAAAATAAATGTATTAAACAAAAAGTTCAAACATCAACATGTATTATGTAATTTATCTACAACCTTACATTTAGTAAAGGCTTAAAACCAGCGATACTTGTTTGAAAAATAACTTAAATAATTTAAGGAACTCGTTAAACACGTATTAGTTTCCTTCCAAAGGTAGGGTTTCAATTGAATTTCCGTGTTTAATAATCTTAATTAAACTGAGAGTTGCAATTTGTGTGTCGCACCTGGCGTTTGAAATCTGTAGGGTGAATACAAAGTACTCTGGCTTAGCACTGAAGTTTTATAAAAATGTACCGTAGCAAGTTGTTAATGTTGTGTTCATACATACAATAATTATAAACACTCTTAAATATATTTCAATTTTATTGCCGGAGTAAATTTAAAACGGAGAATAAAAAATAATTTCTTAAGTGGCTGCCAACTTTAGACATAAAGTTAAATAATTTTCGTACCTAACGTTTTATAGCAAAATACAACCAACAGCAAAGAGCCATGCTCAAGTGTGACCTACTAAAGTTTTAAGTATAAAACTTTAAACGCTAACATACAAGAGCAGACCTTATCTACATAATGCTTCATTTTTAGGAGTGGTAGATATTTAATATGATTTGAAGCAGAGTTCGCCATGAGTCTCTGCATAATTAGGTATCATAGACCTATTTAAGTATCGCTCAAATTATATTAGTAACTATTGGATGTTTTACTGGGTTATATATCTATGTGTTTAACAATTATTGTCTAGTGTAATATGTGCTACGATCGAATACCTGTAAATGTAAAAAACATAATTTCCATTGTCATATTGAAGTAATTTTTCCATTTACTTTTAGCGAATTCCCCAAATAGGGAATAATATTTCCGTAGTACTCATGGTGAGACCTGGACCCGGAACCGATTTACTTTTTCGTTTTGAGGTCCTTAGAGGCCAAAAACACCATCCGTTCAATTTTCACATACATATT